GGGGGGCGGGGCGGCGGCTGCGCCTGCTCCTGGGAGCCCCCGGGCTCTCCCCGCTCCCGGTGCTTCTTCGAGGAGCCCATGGAGACGCAAAATGGCACCGACGCAACACGAAACTTCCGGGATCGGCGCTACAGTGCTTCCGGGTCATTACATGCTCGTCCAGGCTCATTGCGCACGAATTCCGGATAATTTATAGGTTACTTCCTGTTTATATGTACGTCACTTCTCGTGTGTTGCTACTTCCTGTTCACCGCTCCCGGTGCTTCTTCGAGGAGCCCATGGAGACGCAAAATGGCACCGACGCAACACGAAACTTCCGGGATCGGCGCTACAGTGCTTCCGGGTCATTACATGCTCGTCCAGGCTCATTGCGCACGAATTCCGGATAATTTATAGGTTACTTCCTGTTTATATGTACGTCACTTCTCGTGTGTTGCTACTTCCTGTTCAGACCTGTCTAATGCCCGTATACTTGTACGTCACTTCCTGTTTACAAGGCTATTACCTCCGTGTCAAGAGGGTGTGTTTCCTGTTTGGCTGAAGTTGTCTCCTAGTTCGTCTTTGCCCCCAGGCAACTGGGATGTGCAGTTACCAGTGGAGGGGGAGGACACATATTTCTCTACCTCGTTACATCACGCGGGGCGGACGCTCTGTGGCTCTAGCTGCCCTTGGCAGACATTGCAGGGTGTGGCAGGCATCCCAGTGTCAAAGAATTTTTAAAACCCCAATAAATAAAGGCCTTTAGCTCCCATGGAGTCCAGGCTAAGGATGTTAAGGACTAGTTGACTCTCTGATAAGCAAATGCCTATCAGATAGTCCAGTCGACTAGTTAATTCCCTCCCCCCCCCTTGACAGAGGCAGCAAAGGGGGGGAGGAAGAAAGGGGTGGACACTTCAAAGTGACAATGCTGCACAGGGCTCATACATGGGCTCTGTGCGGTGCTCTGTCAAAGGGGCAGCACTGCACAGCTGATCCCAAGCTCACCTGTGCGGCACTGCACCTTTGAAATGCCACATCGTTTTAAAGCAGTGTTGCACACAGCTGCCCTGGGGCTCCATGCAGTACTGCCCCTTTGAAACACCATGGTGGCATTTGCATGAAGCTCGGGGTCAGCCAGAGGGGCATGCCTCTGCATGGCATTTCAAAGAGGTGGCGCAGCATGGAGTCTGAGGTCAGTGGTGGACTCTGAAGCTGCGTCTACACTACCAAGTTCTATCAGAAAAAGATATGCAAATTGCACTTTTCTTCCCACTTTTCTTCAGAAAGAGGCTTTTCTGAAAATTGGCCCGTCTACAGCAGGCCAAATGTCAGGAAAAAAGCCTCTTTTGGAACATCCCTTCTTCCTCACAGAACCAGGTTTACAGGGATGCCAAAAAATGCATCTGCTTTTCTGAAAATTTTTTTTAAAAGCAGATGCATTGCTTGGATGCAGCAGAGCTTTTCTGGGATACCTCTGGTATCCCAGAAAAACTCTGCCCTCTAGGCGTACCGCTGAGTCTGCCGCTGACCTTAGGCTCCATGCAGGTGTTTCTGCTTTGAAATGCACAAAAGCCTCCACTGGGGACTTTTGCGCATTTTAAAGCTGATATCCTTGTGCAGCCCAGAGTCAGCGGGACTTCCCGCTGTCCCCAGGCTGCACACAGAGTACCCCAGCAGGGGCTCTTGTACATTTCAAAGGAGGAATGTGGAAGTGCCTATCAACTAGTGGAGTATTCAATGAAAATTCCATCGACTACTCAACTAGTAAATTACTTGATATTTAACATCCTTAGTCCAGGCCCAACCATCTCATCCATCTCATGATTTATAATAGTTCTGTGAGGCCTTTGAACTCTGTACAGCTAGCTACTTAACTGTATTGTTTAGTAAGCCCAGCACATCCAAACAAATCTATGACAATGCTGTTGCAAGGAAAGAATTTAACATGGCTTGGGAAAACCCGTTCTTGTTTATAGAAGGAAAAGAGTCTAAATCTATAGGGTTACTGTGTGACACTATAGCCCTATGAAAAAAGTTTGATTTTGAGTGGCATTTGGCATAAATCTATGTAGCCATGAACACAAAATATCCCACTGGATCGCTTTGCAGGAAGAGCTAGTGCTCCACTGGAATGTTCATTGGCTGTCAAAGGGAAAGGATCACAAAAAAATCTGAGATATGGAAAGCCAGTGCTAACTTTTTTGGAAAAGAGGGATAAACTCAATGACAATGACAATGACAAACTTACTGAAGACAAAGACTAGATAAGTGACTTGGATTTCCTCATCAATATTGTGTTTCATCTTAACATATGTACAAGAGAAGGATTTGCCTTTTGCTACACTGTGACTCTTCACTGTTTGAGAAAATTTTAGGATTGATAACTCTACTATGGATCTCTTTACTAATCCTGTCACTGTTTTGTGCACCGATGTTGATAATTATCTTCCAGATTTATAGTTAGAAATTCTTGAACTAAAATATTATTTCTGGACTTGGGAATAAATTAAAAGGATTGTGTATATCTCCAGTAAACCAAGATCTGATTGTGATGGGTTAGATTACAGACGTCCCTTTGAGGTTGTCCCCTAGTGTGCTGATCATGTCAATAATGCCCACTTTCCTGCCTTCTGGGGCTCTTCACCACCCTGTCTTGCTTGACCAGAAGCTCTGGTTTCCCCCAGCAAAGGCACAGAATTGGGGTTCCTGCCCCACCCTGCAGAGCAAAACTGACACTGAACTAATTTAGCTCTGGGAAGAGTCAGTTATAAGGGCTTAGCACCAAGAAAACCAACCCCCAAAAGGAACCAAAACCCCAAACAAATTCGTCTTCCCCTGTGTAAAAGTTTTACACAGAGAAAACTTGTAAAGATGCCTGCCCACTTTATCAATGAAAGAGAGATATGAATATAGTTGCAATCCCCCAGGTAACAGTTATTTACACTGGGCTTGGTAATAAACGTAGATGTTTTTAATTAAGTACAAATAGTAAGATTTAAATGGTTGCAAGTGAAAACAGATCAAAGTTAGTTACAAAGTTAAAATTTAAAAAAAACCAGCTAATTCTGATATACTAAGAAATGTGTTGCATGTGAATTCTTACCCTAAAACAATTGATCTAAACATTTCTTTCACAAGCTAAGCAGCCTGCTATTATGGGCTCAATCCTTTCCCCCCGTTCAGTCCTAGATATTTCCAGCAGGCATCTTAGGTAATTGCTGAGTCTCCTGGCATCTGGCAACTGCCCTATTCTTTGCCCTGGCCCATATTCCTTTTGCCCAAGGCAGGAATTCTTTGTGCTCAATTCAAACTTTTCTCACCTTAAGTGGAAAAGTACCAGATCCAAAATGGGTTTCAGCCTCAAGTGTCCTGGCCACATATCTGTCTAGGATCAACCATAGTTTGGACTCACAGGACAAACAAGGCTATTCACAGATCGTTAGTTTGAGAGCTGAGTCATTACGTTTCCAGAGCATCAGTAATGATCCTTTTTAACACATTGAGAATTAACAGATCCACATACAAGAATGATACAAACCCAAAAATAGGATATACAATTTCAGCGGATTACAAACTTTAAAATTACATGTCACATTATTTATTTTGCATAAAACATCTTTGAGTAGGGTTACCAGATGGTTTAAAAAAAATACCAGACATACTTGATCTCAGATCGGGGGGAGGGACCGTCTGAGAGGGGAGCGGGGGTGGCCAGGAAGGGGGGAATGGGAGGGTTGGGAGCTGGCTGCCGGGGAGTGGGGCTGGCCCGGGCACACGCAGATCCCAGGGTGCTGCCCATCCTGCGCACAGTCCCGGCGGGTCACACGGGCAAGTCTGGCCCCGGGGATTCCATCCCACCCCTGCCCCCCTCCTCTCTACTGCATAGTTGCGTTCTGCATGAGCATGTCTACCAGCTAGGCAGTATGCAACTACGTACTGATACTCATGATAATAATAAGAACATAATTAGAAAATACCAGACATTTATATGTCCAGTATTTTCTCAATTTGTTTCCCGGACAGAAAGTGAAATACTGGACTGTCTGGTTCAAAACTGGACACCTGGCAACCCTATCTTTGAGTTATGTATTCTCATAAGCAAATTTTCATAAAGTATGGTGGCGGGAGAGACTGTGACACTGATACCATTCTGAAAATTTTTCCTAAAGGAGATTTTTCTCAGATAGATGATCTTGCCCTTTGAGATGATGGTAAACTTGGATTGGTGTATATTTACCAGACAGTCATTTTCAGAGAGAAAGTTTATTAAAAGGAAATATCATCCCAAATTCACTTATTCCCAATTCAATAACTTCAATGACTCCAGTACATCAGTGAAGCTGTACACAGGGATTGATAACATTGTGGACAAGAAGGGACATTCAGAAACCCCTTTATATTGCTGCCACCACACCCAGATCATGCTCAGTTTTATTCTGAATTAATTCTGTTATAGGAAATACCATAATTAAGTGTCATTTTTTTAGAGTAGAGGTTTTCAACCTTTTTTCATTTGTGGACTTCTAAACATTTTCAAATGCAGCCACAGACCCTTTTGGCAATCTTAGACACACTCTGAGGACCCCAGGGACCCACATATCACAGGTTGAAAAGTCAGTGTTTTAGACACTTTAATAATACTAATACTAATACTAAAGTGACATTTTGGTAATAAGTTCATATTGTGCCAAACTTATTGTTGAGGTCCTGCCTTCCTAACAGGGGAACATGCTATTGTACTTGGGGGGTTCGTTATATAATTTCTTCTTCACACCACAACAGAGGTGGGGAATAATTTGAATGACATACCCCTTCTCTTCTTTATAAATAGATCTATACACAAAGGGTATGTCTGCACTTGCCCCCTACTTCGAAGTAGGGAGGCAAATGAAGCATACCGAAGTTGCAAATCAAGCCCGGGATTTAAATATCCCACGCTTGATTTGCATGTTCCCAGCCAGTCGCCATTTTAGAAATTCACTATCGTGGAGTAACTGCCCGCGTCTACACGTGGCAGTGAAACAGGAGTCCGATTTAAAGCCCCTAATTCAAATTAGCTGGTAAACCTCATTGCAGGTGTAGACGCGGGCAGTTACTCCGGGCTAGTGAATTTCTAAAATGGCGACTGGCTGGGAACATGCAAATCAAGCGCGGGATATTTAAATCCTGGGCTTGATTTGCGACTTCGATATGCTTCATTTGCCTCCCTACTTGGAAGTAGGGGGCAAGTGTAGACATACCCAAAGAGAAATCCCATTAATAGTGGGAGAAAGAATCATCACCCTTCCATCCCGCAGAGGAAGGGGTAGTATAAGCCATATATCCTTCTGTATAGAGAGGGGGAAATATCATTGGGAGTGGTGGGATGAAGATTCATTCCCTCCTCTGCTTTGTTGAAGGGATGCTATGACCCATACACCCTTCTGTATCGGGGTATACCCTAGAGGCAAATCAGTTTTTCCACCATGCTGGGTCTTTGGGGCCAGCAGATTGCGAGAGGAGAATGTCCCTACTGCAGAGGTGAGGAACCCTTATTGGGTTGAGGCTGCTGATCTCACTGATGTGGCCCCCAAATGAGAAAGAGACACTCCCTACATTGCCCTCGCAGATCAGAGCCTGGGGGCCCTAGCCTAGTAGATTTTCTGTACTGCAGCCCTGTGGGGGGCAACAGGGAGCTGGGGGGCCAGCAGGAGCTCCCCAATGCTGGGGAGCTGGCTCTGAGCCTTGGAGGACTGATCCAGGCAAGCCAGGGGCCGCATCTGGCCCCTGGGCCTGAGGTTCCCCACCCCTTCCCTACTGCATCAGCATCAGCATCTTAGCTTGTGAAAACAGACAAAATTGAATTCTGATGCATCGTCTCTGCAGACTCCCTGCTACTTACTCTTGCACCTTAAAATGGTAACTAGCATAAATAGGTTAGGGTCTGTTTTGTACTGCCAGCCAAAGTGGCCCTATATAAATACTTGAAATAAGCCTCTGACTATCTCTTAAATCACTCTGATCCCTAAAAATAAACAGAGACTTCCTTCTTGGGCATGATGGGGGCACTTTCTATGCACAGAGCTGGCTTCCTGGTGAAGCTGGAGCCAGCAATGCAGAGCTGTGGATCCTGGTGGCAGTTAATTGGAGTTAAGACAGCCATTGGAAAAACTAACAAGAGAAAAAGAAGTACATTGGGCCCCAAGGTCTGTGCAGAGATCAGATAACTGTATCACATTTCCCTTTCCCCTGCCTCCTGTGGGAACAGGACATATCATCTTCATGCCACAAAGAAACAGAGGTGCAGATCCAATTATGATGGGGGCCAGATACCTAGGGACATACCTCAAGATCACATAGAAAATCAGGGTCAGTTAAACACAGAGGATCCAGGTGTTTTGGCAGCCTATTCACCCATCCCTTCTCTAGCCACTAGATCACAGTCCTGTCCCAGAGCTGAAATAAAACCTTATTCTGACCTATTCAACTCTAAATCCTGCCAGAGTAAGATAGAACCCAAGAGTTGTGAGTCCAAGCTCCCCTGCCCCCAATGCTGCCCACTAGGCCCCTCTCCCTTCCCAGAACTTGGGATAGAACCTAAGGCTATGTCTAGACTACATGGCTCCGTCGATGGAGTCATGTAAACTAGTTTACCTGGCATAGGCAAAGAAACGAGGTTTACAGGAGCGGTCAACAAAGGCTTCCCCAGCTGTCAGATCCGCGTCTAGACTGCCGCGCTGTGCTGGATCAGCTGATCGTCGGCACAGCGTGGTGGCCATGTTTATTTTAATGAAGTGGGCATTATTTAATTCCCCACTTCTTTGCCTATGCTGGGTAAACTATACCCAGCCATGTACTCTAGACATACCCTAAGAGTGCTGACCTTCACGCCCAGCCTCTCCTTCTCTAACCACTAGATCTCACTCTCGCACTACTGTACTACTGGGAGGAGAAGGTAACAGTTCCCCAAGGAACCTTTATTCCTCATCTTATATTTTCAAAAGCTTCAGGGGGTAGCCGAGTTAGTCTGTACAGGATAAACTTAAAAAACAAAAAATAGACTGGTAGCATTTAAAGACTAACAAAACATGTAGATGGTATCATGCGCTTTCACGGGCACAGCCCACTTCTTCAGCTGACCAGAGTGTTGGATGTCCAGAACTAAAAACACTGAGTTCTGGACATCCAACACTCCGGTCATCTGAAGAAGCGGGCTGTGCCCACAAAAGCTTATGATACCATCTATATGTTTTGTTAGTCTTGTATTTTCAGTTCACCTTCTTTTTCCTCTACACAGAGGGTTATTTCAGGGCACTGTCCTGACTCCTGGCCAATTATGAAGGAGCTGCTCTCCATTTCTTTCTCCTTTGCTAGTTCATAACCAGAGTGCAATAGGAGAGATGTAAACTGGAGCGTGGGGGGTGAAATTGCAGCTCTCAGCATGATCAGATAACATTCCTGTGGCTGTCCAGGGCTCCTACTGCTTCTGCCCCTCCCCTTCTCAGGCCTCTTGCTGCCAAAGAGCTCAAAGCTTGTTCATAAGTTAACCCCTGGCAAAGACAAAATGAGGCACAGAGAGGAAGCAAGCTGGCTATAGTCATAATGGCAGGAGAAGGTAGAGAAACCAGGAGGTCTGATCCAAGGCCCCCATTGTGCCAGGCCTTAAGACAACCACTGAGAGACATCTCTTGTCCTGAAAAGCTCCATCTAACTAGACAAATAAAGGATTGTGAGCCCTGCTTTGTAGGTGGTTAAACTGAAACCCAGTGAGATGAAGTGACTTGCACAAGCTCACTGAGGGTATGTCTACACTACCCCGCTAGTTCGAACTAGCGGGGTAATGTATGCATACCGAACTTGCTAATGAAGCCCGGGATTTGAACGAGGAGAACAGATAGTTCGGAATGGCTACGTAGTTCGAACTATCTAGCCCGGGCCGCGTGTAGCCGCGCGGCACGGGGTTCGCACTAGCCGGCTTTTAAAAATGGCGGCGCCGGCTTTATGCTAATGAAGCCCGGGATTTGAATTTCCCGGGCTTCATTAGCAAGTTCGGTATGCATACATTACCCCGCTAGTTCGAACTAGCGGGGTAGTGTAGACATACCCACAGAGAGACTGTAGCAGAGCTGGGAATGGAAACCAGAATTCTTAGGTCTCAGCTCTGTGTCTTAAAGCCAAGACCAGCCTTCCTGTCTCTTACAGGGTATGTCTACACTGCGGGCTAAAGTCAAATTAAGATACGAAACTTCAGCTATGTTACTTGCGTAGCTGAAATCCAAGTAGCTTAACTCAGCTTTTGGTGCTGTCTGCACAGCAGGAAGTCGAAGGAAGAGCACTCTTCCTTCAACTTCCCTTACTCCTCGGCTGTGTCTAGACTGGCCAGTTTTTCTGGAAAATCAGCCGCTTTTCTGGAAAAACTTGCCAGCTGTCTACACTGGCCGCTTGAATTTCTGCAAAAGCACTGATTTCCTACTGTAAGAAATCAGTGCTTCTTACGGAAATACTATTCTGCTCCCGTTCAGGCAAAAGTCCCTTTTGTGCAAAGCTTTTGCACAAAAGGGCCAGTGTAGACAGCTCAGATTTGTTTTCCGCAAATAAGCCCCGATTACGAAAACGGCGATCGGGGCTTTTTTGCGGAAAAGCGCGTCTAGATTGGCACGGACGCTTTTCCGCAAAAAGTGCTTTTGCGGAAAAGCGTCCGTGCCAATCTAGATGCTCTGTTCTGAAAATGCTTTTAACGGAAAATGTTTCCATTAAAAGCATTTCCGGAAAATCATGCCAATCTAGACGCAGCCCTCATGAAATGAGGGTTTCAGAAGTCAGAGTAAGATGCCCATTATTTTGAAATTATTTCAAAATAACAACCTTGCTATCTAGATGCGCACTCTGTTATTTCAAAATAACATGAGTTACTTCAAAATAAGCGTGCAATGTAGACATAGCCACAGTGACCAAAGACTGTATCTATGGTATCACTACAGAACAGCATAGCTCAGGCAACAGCAGGGTGAGGGAAAACATTCCCTACCAGCTTGTTACTGTCTAGCAGGAGGCAAACGACAAACAAAGACATGCAATATATCACAGCCAGCACAATTCATAGACAGCGCTGTAGTTACTATGTACCATAATTTACCTGCTGTGAGATGCACCATGTAAAGTTTGTGGTGTTGCCCATTTTTGATCCAAGCAAATAGTCAAATTTCAGGGCTCAGGAGGTGTTCTAGTTAACAGGAGATATTGGTGATATTCAGGTATTTCTTTGATGCAATCTTGATTATTTATAAGAAATGTACAACGCACTGCTTCTCTGAATGCAGGAGGAACCAAGAACAAAAAGAGAGGATTTCTGCATGTTGCCAATGAATTGCATATAAAAATGACCACTCCAGTTGCAACTCTAGATAAGCCCCAAGATAAGTCTATGCACCCCTTACAGGTAACAACGTCTAATTCAATGTGGGGTCAGCATGGATTGCAATTGGAGAGCACCTCCTTCTGACCTCCCTGTCCTGTTTTCTGCAGCAAAGAGCTCCCAAATGCACACTAGGGCACTGGGGGAAGCATCTACTCTGAGGGGAGAGTGCCCCCTACTGAGCCATTCACTCCTCCAACATGGCAACACTGGCATTGCCATCTTCATGGGTTTGAGCCCCACCCATGCCCCCCACACCCTGGACCATATTGGCACCAACACCAGCTTTTCCAGGGCTGGAGATGGCATCAGCTGAAGGTAGGGAGTCTAAGACATCAGCTGAAGGTAGCGAGGTGGAGTGGGTCCCAATGGCTTAATCAGCCTCCAGATTCTGGGATTGTGGGATTCAGAACTGGACCTCTACAAGTGCAGCAGTTCTTGGAGTCAACATGAGGGAGATGTAGCCATGCATGAATGGAGGAATATCCTCCAGGAGGCAAAGACAGCCTTCAAAGATCACTGGTCAACCAGTTAGCCAAGATGGTCAGCCAATATGTCCGCCAATGAAAGCTAGAAAACCAAGATGGCCACCAAAGAAAAGTAGACAACCAAAATGCCCATAACCTAGCAGGTCAAAGCAGGGTCATGCAGGCCTCGCCACAGCCGAATGATATCCTGGGGTTTCCTGTGTTCCACCAGGATGAGATCTTTATAAGCACACAGATCCTCCTGTCCCTCATCCTCCATGTTGAAAGTCCAGAAACCAGGATGATTCTGTGGCACAAGCCCCAGCTCCTCCAAGCAGATCCCCAGGTAGACGTTGTTGATGGGGAAAAGGGGCAAGTGGCATGAGGCCTCGTAGAGCTGGGTGGCCACATCCCGTGAACAGAGGAACCCTCCACCCCCCACATAGGGCGGGTAGGTGCCTTGATAGAAGGACTCAGGGACATAATACTTGTGTTTGCTGTCATGGACTGGGGCAGCATCTTGGATGACATGGCCAGTGAAGAAGCCCCGTTGAGGGGTAGCATTAAGGCTCCCAGTATAAGCCACAAGAGCATCCACCCTAAGAAAGACATCATCATCCCCCAGGAAGATGAACTCCACGCTGGGGCAGTGTCCCTTTAGCCACCCTAGGAATAGGATGTCTTTTAGGCTCAGATTGTAGAAGGTATCCTGGAAGTCCCAAAGCAGGAGATCCTTGTTTTTCCGCCTCTCTAACTGCAGAAGTGCTTCCAGATCTGGATATCTGTCCCCTGACCCCTGCCTGCCCAGCAGGAAGAGAGTCTGCACTGTCACATTCCTCACCAGCCCTGTTTGGCCCCAAGTCTGCCGGATGGCTTGACGTCGGTCAAAGTTTGCCAATTGGGACCTAACAGCCACCAGCAGTTGGGTCCCATCTGAGCAAGCCTTGTCATCCGCTGGCCCAATGAGCAGTGTGTAGTCCCTGCAATGCATGGACAGGACGAAAGCCTGGAGGTGGCTGGGATAGGAGGAGAAATCTGCCAACTTCTGGGAGGCCCCATGGAAGCTCTCTCCACACGTCCCTGGCAGCATGAGATTGAACTGAGCTGTGACATTCCTCAGTATGGGGTTGTCCAGCTGGGCCATGTAGAGCTTTAACAGGTGCCAGAGTGGGAGGCCATGGAGGTCCATGGGCTGCCAGAGCTTCATATGGCCCCCAATGAACATTGTTCTCCTTGGAGTCTGCAGGCTGAGCGGCCTCCTTGAGAGCATCACCACAGTGTAGAGTATCACATTGGCGACTAAGACACAGGCCAGCCAGACATAGACTTTGATGTAGCCAAGCTTCATGGTGTGTGGAGGGGAGCTGTAGGGCAAGGAATGGAAGGGGTTAGAAGCAGTGTTCCCTGAAAGCTGAGCAATTGGACGACTGCCAAATGCCACCCAGCGGATTAGCAGAAAGCCTATAGAATGTGTTTCTACTGGTGTTCCACATCTGCACATGCCTCAGTGAACATAACAAAATTTATTCCACACATGGAAGGAAAAAAAATAGAGGGAACATTGATTAGAAGGTACATCCTAGTGGTAAATGAGGGATCCCCCTGTACCACCGAACACCCTTGACAGCTCATTCCCTCCAACCCCAGTCAACTACCCCCGCCCCCCACAGCCGATCCATTACTTCCTTCTCTGTCATCCCAGCTGGTCAATTACACACTCCCCCACCCCTGATAATCCCTCACAGTGGATCAACTGCCACTTCCCACACACACACCATGAGGACTTTTCAGGTCTCTGCTTCACACACACACTAATAGCCCCCAATGGCTGTTCAACTACCACCTGCGCACATACACAGAACCTTCGCACCAGAATCATTCAACTCCACCCACCCAACAGCCAGACAGCCCCCCCCCCCATAGCCACTCAGCTATCCCCTGCACCCGTACACACATCTTAACAATCCTCATGGATGTACCTGGTATCCCCACAAACTCACAATGACAAATCCACTTCAGTACCTCCACATACACCCTGACAACCCTCTCCCCCAAACCTGACAGATACCCACTGTCATTCAGCTACCCTCCATAATCCCCATGGCATTTCAGGTACCCCCATACACACCTCTGCCCTTTGGGAGACTTACATGGCACTTGTGCTTCCCTTAGTTCTCAGAGCATTTCACCAGGTGGGTTTGTCTCTTTAGAGCCATTGTAGAGCAGGAACCAGAAGCCTGGAGACGGGAGGGGCAGCAATAACAGAGTTTGGGGTCCTAGCCTCCCTGCTGTAGCCACTAGCTGCCATTCCTTTCCCAGAGCCAGGCTAGAACCCAGGGGTCTTTGTTCCCAGTCCCCTGCTCTAGCGACTAGACCTCACTTTGCCCCTAGAGCTGGGAGCTGATCGTCCCTCCGAAGTGGAGCTCATCTCAGCTTTCAGTGGGTGGGACAATGATCCGCTCTTATCTTGAGGCAGGTGCAGAGTCCTTTATGAGGAGGGGAGAAGGAGAATAGGGGGACAATAAGGTCAGAGAGCCACGCAGCAAGTTGCAGCGGGATCAGTATAAACCGGTTCCTAAGCATTCATGGTGCTAATATTGCTTCCCAGCCTGCCTCCTTTGCCCTCCCCCCTCCTTGCACACACATATTTGCCACAGGGCAGGGGTGCGTCCTGGCTCCCTGTTCCTTCTGCTCTGTCACACCAGGTCTCGCTCTCCTCCCAGACTTGGAAATAGAGCCCAGAAATCCTCACTTACAAGCCCTCCTGTTCTAACCTACAAGACGCCACTCCTGTCCCAGACCTGTGGACAGAACCCAGGAGTTCTGTGTTCATACCTGGCCAGGACAGAGCTCTGTAAACAATCAGCAGGGAGGCAGGCATGCTCTAGCCAAGATCCGGGCTCCACATGCTCTCCGAGCCTTGTTCCCCAGATTGAGTGCGTCTCACCTGGATTGTGGGGTGGGAGACGTCAGTGCCTGTGCAGCCCTGGGGAGCGGGAAAAAGACAGAACTAAGTAGTGGTGAGGAGAGAAATATTAGACGAGCCAGAAGAGAGGGCTCTTGGGAGGCAGTCGGCTGCCTAGGTAGGGAGGGGCAAGGAAGCCTGAAGGGAAGGGACGGTCCAGGGTTGTGCTAAGTGGAGCAGGGAGCTGAGGGTATTCTGGCTGTGGGGGAGAGGAAGAGAAAATCCAGGGCTGTTCTGGAGCACTGGGGGTGAGGGGATCTGGGGTAGTGAGGAATGAAGGAGGGATCCAGGGCTACAGAGACGAAGGGGGATGCAGGTAGGAGGGAGAAGGGGTCCAGTGGGAGATCTGAGGCTGGGGAAAGTGGAGGGGAGAATCTAGGTTTGAGAGGGACTCAGGGCAGGGGGAGGAGTGGTGCTTGGGCAGTAAGGATCTAGGATAAGGGGATCTGGGGTTGGGGCAGCACGGGAGACCCCAGTCTGAGAGTTTCCCTCACCCCAACCCACTGATTGTAGTACTGACTGTAGTACTGCAGTGCTCTTTCCTCCCCAAGCCATGTTTTCTCCAGCCATGGTCTATGACACTAGGGTTCTGTCTCTCCGGGCTTGGGTACTGCCAAATCGCTGACAGCATATTTGATGTCTTAATTGTCCCTACAGCTGTGTTCCCACTATCCTCCTCCCCCCCCGGCCTGTTTTTAATTTCATCTGCCAGGGACCTGTCCCTTCCACAGTCCTGTGGTTGCTACCAAATATCACCCCACAATCCTCATATCACCAATGCAGCAACACCTGCCTGAGTCTGCAGGAAGCCTGAGCTGATTGCTCTAGGAAGGTTGAGATGCTCCAGGTTTCTCAGTGAGGTGTTAACCCTGAAAACTATACACCCATCAGTTCATCAGGGCAGTGACTCTCTCAGGGTATGTCTACACTACCCCGCTAGTTCGAACTAGCGGGGTAGTGTAGACATACCCTGAGAGAGTCACTGCCCTGATGAACTGATGGGTGTATAGTTTTCAGGGTTAACACCTCACTGAGAAACCTGGAGCATCTCAACCTTCCTAGAGCAATCAGCTCAGGAGAAAAAAGGTAGTGTAATAGAATTCTATATTAATATTACTTTACCGCCTTTCTACCATGCTACGCTTGAAGTTTAATAAAGACAAATGGCAAAAGACCGCCTTGGCTTAACCACGAGATCTTGCATGATCTAAAAATAAAAAGGAGTCATATAAAAAATGGAAAGTAGGACAAATTACAAAGGATAAATACAGGCAAACAACACAGGAATGCAGGGCAAGATCAGAAAGGCAAAGGCACAAAATGAGCTTAAACTAGCTACGGGAATAAAGGAAAACAAGGGGTATGTCTACACTACCCCGCTAGTTCGAACTAGCGGGGTAGTGTAGACATACCCTCATTGTGTCTGTGAAGGGCCCAGCAAAATGGAGCATCTGCTGTCAGCGTCCATGCAGTACACAGCATAATGGGCACCCTGAGTTTAGTCGGGGTCTGTGCAGTGCCTGGCACGGTGGAAGCACTGATCTCACTGGGAGGTCTATGTAGCAGATAGCACATTGGGGGCCCGAATCTCAGCCAAAGCCTCTCACTGACACTTCTATAAAGATAACAATAATAATAATGACTCCCAGCTTCCTGCTTTCTTCTTACCACTGGGCCATATCCTCCTTCCAACGCCAGGCATAGAACCCAGGAGTCCTGGCTCTCAGTCTCCAGCTCGTAACACCTCCAACTCACTTTGTTGCAGTAATCCCAGTAAGAAAAAAGCAAACTCTGTTCTTAAAGACTCATTTATTTGCTGGTACTTTGCTTCTCTCACTCAGGGAGCTGAATGTGACCCTTCTCCGTTCCAGACGGGGTTATTCTCAGGCAGTATCCAAAGAGTCCAGAAGAGACTCTAACCTCTTATTGAGCAGCAACCTGTCAACAGGACATGAACCAAATGAACCACTAGATCCCCCTTCCCTCCCAGAGAACTAGGAGTTCTGAGAAGGAATGGATGAAGCAGGAGGATCAGCAGGCCCTGTGCTGGGAGATCTATAGATCCTGGACAAAGAGGAATGATGGATCTATAGAGGCTGGAGTACCCCATGGCTGTCTGAGACATAGCGCTTGGAGCCTGGACAGCCAGGTGACGAGCTATAGGGGCCAAGACAATGAGATCTACAGGGCTCAGAGCGGTAGGATCCAGGAGAACTCTATCAGACCTGGAGCAGTAGGATCCAGGAGGGATCTACAGGATAGGGGGTTGTATAGGGCCCAGGATTGCAGGATCCAGCACCTGATCTAAGAGAGGCTCCGTGACCTCCCCTGTGTGGTTCTGCCAGCTGTCCTGGAAGTGCTGCCCTTGGCCAGGCGCCCAGCATGTCTCCACAGCATCCCCTCATCAATGCCCAGTGCTGCCAGCACCTGGGAGAAGCGCCGCTCCACAGCCAGGCGGGCGTTGGTCTGTGAGGTGAGAGGCAGGGACACCATTCGCATCAGACACAGAACTGAGCTGGGCTCAGGCTGCCCAACCTCAAACCTTTCCCAACTGCGTAGCAGGGACCTCCTCCAGCCAAGACAGCAATAGGGGGAGTCCACAGCCAGGAGTAGAACCCAGACATCTGGGCTCCCAGACTCCCCGTCCTAACCATTAGACTGCCCTCCCAGAGCTGATAGGATAGAACTGAGAAGTCCTAAGGGCTCATTCTCCCTTGTCTAACCATTAGACCCCACTCCTCTCTCAGAGCCAGAAATGGAACCCGGGAGTTCTGACTCCCAGCCCTCTCCCTCTGCTCTAACCCAGTAGCCCCACTCCTCTCTCACCTGCATAACACGCTCAAAGAGGTAGGGCCGACTCTCCACCCTCTCTTGGATCTCTCGCAGCTGGGCATCATACTCTGCCATGCGCTGCTGCTCCAGCCTCCTAGAACAACAACATAGAAAGGGTAAGCACAGTGAATCCCACCTCCAGTCATGCCCCTCCTCAGTGCCTGTTCACAAGGATGCTCAGGGATCTGCTGGATCCTCTGCCCCAGGGCATTTAGAATCTGGTCCAGTAGAGTTGGAGGATCCAGGGGGAACTATAGAGTCTGGAAGAACCAGGCAATCTATAGGGTCTGGCCCATTGGGACTGGGAAATGCAAGAGGCTCTGTAAAATCTGGGAAATTGTGGGAGATCTATAGGATATGAGAGATCTGGAAGCTTTATAGGGCCTGGGTAAGTGAGGGGGTAGGTGATCCCGTGGGACCTTTGGGTTCTGATCTGGATCTGAAATCTGCCCATCAAGCTTATCTTAAATCTTCTCTTTTCACTTAAAAAACAACAAATAGTCTGGTAGTACTTTATAGACTAAGCAGCCTATAAAGTACTATTTTTTGTTAGCACTCAAAATCTCCCAGTTTAGCTGAGATAGCCTCCAGGGACAGAGAATGATTCTGGGAGATTCCTGGTGAAAGTGGGAGGGTTAGCAACCCTAATAGTGTACTTAGGTTTTCAGAAAGCCTTTGACAAGGTCCCTCACCAGAGGTTCTTAAGCAAAGTAAGCTGTGATGGGCTAAGAGGGAAAGTGCTCTCATGGACTTCTAACTGGTTAAAGGATAGAAAATGAAGAATTATCAGTTTTCAGAATGGAAAGAGGTAAACAGTGATGCCCTCAGGAATCTGTTCTGGGACCAATCTATTCACCATATTCATAAGTGATTGGGAAAAAGGGTAAACAGTGAGTTGGCAAAATCTGAAGATGATACAAAACTACTCAGTATAGTTAAGTCCAAAGCTATAAAGGGATTTCACAAACCTGGATGACTGGGCAACAAAATGGCAGGTGAAATTCAATGTTGATAAATGCAAAGTAATGCACATTAGAAAACATAATCTGCAATATAAAATGGTTGGGTCTAAATTAGTTATTACTACTCAAGAGGGAGATCTTGGCATCATTGTGGATAATTCTCTGAAAACATCCACTCAATATGCAGCACCAGTCAAAATGGCTATCAATCATGGGAATCATTAAGAAAGGGATAGATAATAAGACAGAAAAAATCTTCTTGCCTCTATATTAATCCATGGTAGGCCCACATCTAGAATACTGAATGCAGATGTTGTTGCCTCATCTCAAAAAAGATATATTGGAATTGGAAAGGTTCAGAAAAGGGCAGCAAAAATTCTTAGGAGTATGGAATAGCTACCATATAGAATCATAGACTACTAGAACTGGAAGGGACCTTGAGGGGTCATCAAGTCTAGACCACTGCCCTCATGGCAGGACCAAGTGCCATCAAGATCATCCTTGATAAATGCCTATCTAACCTGCTCTTAAATATCTCCAGTGTTGGAGATTCCACAACCTCCCTAGGCAATTTATTCAATGTTTAACCACCTTAACAGTTAGGAAGTTTTTCTTAATGTCCAGCCTAAACCACCCTTGCTGCAATTTAAGCCCATTGCTTCTTTTCCTATCATCAGAGATCAAGGAGAACAATTTTTCTCCTTCCTCCTTGTAACGCCCTTTTATGTACTTGAAAATTGCTATCATGTCCCCTTCTCAGTCTTCTCTTTTCTATAACTAATCAAGCCCATTTCTTTCAGTCTTATCATATGTCATGCTTCCTAGACCGTTAATCATTTTTGTTGCTCTTCTCTGGACCTTCTCCAATTTCTCCATATTTTTCTTGAAATGTGGTGCCCAGACTTGGACACAAAAGTTGTCCCACTGGAACTTAACATACCTTAAGGAGTTGCATACCTTAAGGAGTTGCATACCTTAAGCTGAGCTGCTGGGTCTACTGTAGACCTGGCCTTAGATTTGTACAATTAAGCAAAGAAGTGAAGCAAAGAAACAGAGGATTTGGAAAATATGTCAAACGTGAAAATGGAAAAGTACTGCTGGAAAACAGTGGAATCATTAGGAGATGGCAGTGATTTTATGAGAAGCTGCTCAATGAAAAGAACATGATTAAAACATTGAGGGAAGTTTCAGAGGGGTAGCCAAGTTAGTCTGTAACTGGAAAAACTTAAAAAACAATGGATAGTCTTGCAGCACCTTAAAGAGTAACAAAACATAGATGTTGCAAGTCAATTTGTTGTTTTTTAAGTTTATTGAGGGAAGTATCTGCCAACAATAACCTCACAGGACCTCTCCTCATGATAGGGATGCAAACAGCGCAAAGATGTTGCAACATGGGGAGGATGTGGGACAATCAAGCATTTAAAGCATTAGGCTGTGAGGGAATGAGAACAAAGGCAAACTTCTTCAACTTAATTCTCTGTCCTGGAAAAAAGCCTGAGGCCTGGAGAAAGATCACATTGGTCCCTAACTTTATTCAGAAAGGAGATGTGCAAGAATGTCCTCATTACCAACCCATCCTGTTAACAAGTCACATGAGGAGATGGCTGGAAAGAATTATCCGCAAGATTTTGGGAGAAACTGCTGCATCAAGTAAGCATCTGCTCATTTGGGTCTATGCCAGGAAAGCTAACAATGGATGCAGTGTTTGCAACCCAAATATTGTAGGAGACATAAAGGGAAATGACATTTTGTTGTGTTGTGAAGACGTATATGAACTAGAAAGGGACTTAGAGGGCTAGGGGACTGCATTAGAAGAAAATGGCTTACAAATCAGCCAGCAAAAGATGGAATACATGCAATACTTTGTTGAGTGGCACAATGAGAAGCCAGTAAAATTAGATGGTATAAAGTATGTGCAATAATTAAAATACCTCGGTTCAGCGCTGAGACATGATGGGAATATAGATGTGGGTGTTAGAAGTAAGGATGTAATAGTATAGTTGATTAACCGATTAACTGATCAGCAAAAGCTAATCAGTTAAAGCTATAGACTACATGCATTTACCCTCCCTCCCACCAGTAAATTTTTTTGCATGTGAGCCAGCAGTCTGGCTCAATCTTGGCTTACTCTGGATCCGGGAACTACCCCTGTTGCGGCTCTGCATTTAAGGTGTATTAAGAGCCAGGCGGGCAAGCAGCCTGACTCAGTTCTGGCTCACTTTGGGTCCAGGAGCTCAGGCCCCCCTGGACTGGGGCTGCTGCCACCTCTGCTGCAGCTGCCATGGCACGCTTCTGCCTCTATAACAGAAGCAGCAGCCCGGGGGCGACAGGCATCCGGACCACGAGGGGATCTGGTTTTGAAACTGGCTCCCCTCATGGACCAACTCCCACCTGGAACCCCACACTGTTGCCTCTGATATAGGGGCAGCAGCATGCCATGGCAGGGAGCTCCTCGGGGGTGGGGCTGGAGCATACAGGCTGCCAGCCCCACCATTGGGGACTATAGAATAGTCGAGTAATCAATAAGAATTCAAGAGGTTAATTGACTATTCAATTAACCAATATTTAAGAACTCTAGTTAGAAGCCACATGAAAAATACTTGGTGTACATGGAGGAAGTTGACAGGAATTGTCTTTTATACAAATATCCCAAGTATTCAAAATGTGTAAGATCATGATTAGCCCAGCCATGATGCATGGGGTCAGAATGTTGGCTAACGAGGAAGAGAGAAAAACAACTACTTCATGCTGCCAAATAAGAATGCTCAGCTGGACACTGGGTAAGACGAGAGCTAATAGATTATGCAGTGAAACATGCTGTAGGTAGCCACCACCCCAGAAAAGTGGAGGGAGAATCTGTTGAGATGGCTGGGTCATGTGAGACGACAACATGTGGGATATGGTAGCCAGAGACAAGAACTACTAGTCAAAGGACAAAGATCACAAGGAAGACTCAGGAAAAGATGGTTAGAGATGCTTAAGGTTGGACATTATTGAATTTTTGGTGCGAACATGCAGAACATTGTTGCATCCACTGTTGTGTGTTTGCCCAAAATTTGTACAAAGTGGGCCAAGTGAGGTGTCTATTGAAAGCTGATGCTTTGCTGATTCTCTTTATACTATTCCTATGCCTGTATGATTTTTTTCTTTGAAGTTATGACTATTGGCTGTGTACTTATATTTCAAATGTTTGCTTCTGGAAAATATCAAAAAGCATTGCCCGGCTATTGTGAAATGGTGGCTACTTAAGTGAACAGCAGAACTTCACTGTCAATGGACCTTACAGATGCAATCCACATCTAAGGAATTTCCCTGTGAACATGCAGACCAGAAGACGATTGTGGTAGACGATTGTGGCTTGCCTAAAAAGGACATGGACAGGTGACTTGCTCATGTGACAAATTCCATTTTGGGAGGCACTTTCACACAGGGAGAACAATGGAATTCCCTTCACCTGGGCAAGATTATAAAAAGGACCCTAGGGGTTCCTCCATCTTTGCCTTCACTCCACCTCATCACTTCAGAAGCAGCTTTGGTATTAACTGGGCCCAGAAGGACTAATGACCCATCCCAATAAAGGATGTATTCCAGACACTTATAAGACAGCAGACTTTTCCATCTCTGCTACAAGCCTGCACCAGGAGCCTTGTAATTGGTATATGTAATATAAACAATGAGAAGTCCTGCGGCACCTTAGGGTATGTCTACACTACAAAGTTAATTCAAACTAACAGATGTTAGTTCGAATTAACTTTGATAGGCGCTACACAGGCAAACCTCTAGTTCGAACTAGCGGAGCGCTTAATTCGAACTAGGTAAACCTCATTCTACGAGGACTAACGCCTAGTTCGAATTAACTAGTTCGAATTAAGGGCTGTGTAGCCACTTAATTCGAACTAGTGGGAGGCTAGCCCTCCCCAGCTTTCTCTGGTGGCCACTCTGGGCACCACCAGGGAAACTCGTCTGCCCCACTCCCGGCCCCGAAGCCCTTAAAGGGGCACGGTCTGGCTACGGTGCCCATGCCAGGTACAACCCTGCCAGCACCCAGCCAGCAGACCCTG